AAATTCACATCTTAAACTCCTTTGTTCTTGTTCCCCCAAAAAATTCACATCCTTCTCGTTTCGATCTCCCAAGATGCTTATGCTGTAATTTAACGTTACAGTTTCCAGCCATAATAGCAAAACCACTCCCACTTTTTCCGTATATAAGCGGTATTGAGTGAACCAAAGGCTTTCTTTTTGGACAATCAGTTCTTCATTATACTCGATCAGTTTGGATTATTCTTTTTTTTATCATTATCACCAGATTGTGTCGTTTTTATGACCTTACCCTTGACAAGTAAAGAATCAACTCTTGTCTTTGTCCACAACGTACGACACACGCACATCATCCACACCAAACTTGGTGCAGCTAATACTTCAAGTGACCTCAATTCTTCTCCTCTACAACCAACGTGTAAAAAATCCCCTGCTTGTTTCCAACTATTGACTGACCGAAAATTACTTTAACAAAAATCCACGACATATGTGTTCTATTAAAACCGCTAATTGTGATGATCTGACCTCATAGCTTTGCGGGATATCTCCATTCCAGGAAAGAGAAGGTCCCGTGCACCACATCATTTTGTAAAGATGCGTTTCAACAGGTCGGTGGGTTAGAGAATATCGGGCGTCATTTGGTCTATGGTTTTCTGTTCCCATCGATATTGTCGTTGAATTTGTCTTATTGATATTGTGATTGTTGAATTCATTTCTGTATTACCGAATTTGAGGAATAAAGGTTTAATTACTCAAGTTTGAGATTAAGAAAATCGGCAACAAAATTGATGCCACGAGCCGAGAATGTCGGACACTAAAATCAAAAGTGTTCAACCGGCAAAAGAAAAGTTGGAGAATCTTCTCGACGAAGTAAAAACAATGGACTTGACGCCTCCTTATCAACATTTGTCGGTGGATGAAAAGTAGCAACAATTTGAATTCAAAAAGAGAACTACAGAAGGAAAAGTAAGACGTCTAAAACTCTATCTTGATACACTCGGATCAATCAACGAAAAGTGGTTGGAGTATATCCAGAAACAAAAGAATGAGCAGAAAAGGAAGGAAAAAAACACAAATACGCAGATATGGTCGACGACAATGGTCTTTTAAATTTAATAAATGACGGTCAAGAAGCTATTATAACTCTAGATATGTACAAGGATGAGTTTGAGCTAGCGGTATAGCGCCTACAGCAAAGCAAGATAAAATATCGAACCATTTCAACAGAAGGAGCTTCCCCAAATGTCTCAGCAGACAGTAAATTTGCCACAGCTACACTACCAACATTCAATGGTGACCCGAAATTATGGAGAGGATTCTGGGGTAGTTTTGATGCCGCATTGCATCTTCAAAAAATACCCGATATCCAAAGATTATCTGATCTCATGCCTCAAAGAAAATGCTCTACAAGCTGTCAAAGGCTATGGTATAGCTCAAGAAAAAAGAGCCACATAGTAAAGGATTGCCGAAAACTAAAGAAATTATGCTTTCATTGTAAAGGAAGACATAATTCAGCGCTGTGTACCAACCACCGCAAAGATACTAGACCAGAAAAACTGCAAGAAAAGTTGGAACCAACAGTGACGAACAGCATATTTGTAGGAAAAATTGATTTGAAAGTTTTGGTTTGTCGGGTTTGATTTGGAAGAGTTTATTCTTAAGCACAGACGAATATTCTGAGAAGGTATTCTTCGGTTCAGAAGGAAGTTAATTCACAGAGGATAGTAGTAAAATATTTTTCGAAGAGAATAGAGGATATAATGTACGGTGCAGTCCTTGGTTGAGTGTTTGAGAATGAAATGATACCTTTCTAGTTACAGCTCTGAGTACATGTACAATGTTAACACAAAGCATACTTGGTGGAGTGGTTTATAACAAACATTACATCAGATTTTCCTTTGGATAAAAAACTGTCAAAATCCGATCACAACAAAAGGCTTTGTTTGCAACATTAAGCATTGCAATTAAGATTGGTTCTCAGACAAAGAAATTTAGCTTGCGAGTGTGCTTTGTTCCATAAAAAAGAATGTGAACTTAAAGATAACAAAGAAAAACACATGAGATAATGAATTTGAGGAATGTAAAATTGTTTAAATGATTCATGATACAATTAGTGTGATTGATTAGTTAGTACATTGGTTTATTTAATCATTTTGTTTCATTTGGAGCTTCGCGATATTCAAAATTCGCGACAACAGGAGCTGAGCAAATACGACCAGAAGGTAAATGGATTTTACTTCTGTGTAAAAAAATTAGCGTCACAAACCCACAAATCTCGAAATTTCAAACGAGAGGTTGGCAGTATTTAATTTTGGCTCGCAGTTGTCATTCATATCAACTAATTTAGCAAAAAGGCTGCACAGTCGATGGGTAGAAGACGAGAGATTAAGTATTACTTTATTTGGTAATAAATAACCAAAGAAATGCAATTCAACCAAAGCAGAGGTTGGTGTAAGAATTGGAAAGACGAAAATCATAATTTGCAAGGTTAACGTAATGGAGTACCTTACAAATAAACTGGAAGTGATCGCAGTCGACGACAAAATTATTAGTTCTGAAAATTTCTGAAAAAAAGAAAAAAAGTTTCTGAAAGGAAAAACTTAGAAAGGATAATCGGCTACTGGAAGCAGCCCGAAGTACTCATTGGCGTCAAAGACTTCTTCAAGTTCATCAAACTAGATGTAGCACAAGAATTGGAATCAGGACTCCTGTTACTCAGGACAAAATTGGGACCAATGCTAGCCGGAAATGGTTATATGGATAATATTCGCAAAGCAAGCGCTGCACCAGCAAACTCAGTTGTATCATGCGTAGCTAACGCAACGAGCCACGAAGATATCGACCACTTTTGGAAGTTAGAACTGATGAGTATCCAAGACGAGCCAAACAAAAACGATGATGAGCAAGCCCTTGAGCGATTTAAGAAAAGTATAACAAAACAAGATAGGAGATACCAAGTTTGCTGGCCTTAGAAAGACTCAAAGGATAAATTAAAAAGCCATTATGGGCTATATTTCGGACGTCTTAAAACCTTGATCAGGAGACTTCAGAACAATGAAAAGACTTTTACGGTACAACGAATCGATTAAGGATCAACTGTAATCAGATATAATTGAGGAAGTTCATCCTGATATGGATCAAGACGGTATAATTCACTATCTACCTCATCATGAGGTAATATCCCCGTATAAGCTTATAACAAAACTCAAAATAGTCCATAATGCTTTGGCGCATCTCAAGGGAACAAAAAGTTTCAATATTCGAATAACATTATTAATTTCCAATTTAAAAATTGGAAGAATTTATGTGGAAACTGCTAAAACTATTTCAAAAAAATTTGAAATACGAATTGTAAGAGCATCGTTTAGCTAATATTATCAAGCTCTTGCAAAAAATATTCAAGAAAAGATTGAGTAGAATTTTTTTAATTCAAAAAATTTTGAAAAAATTAAAGTTAGAAATTTTTAAAAATTAAAAAAAATTCTGAGTTAAAAATTAAAAAATTAAAAATTTTCAAATTAGAATTGAAATTCAATCCTGTGGGTGGATGATAATCAGAATTTAGTTTTTTGAAAACTAGAATATAATTTTTTCTAATTTGAAAAGTTTATTCAAATTTAAATTTAATCTTGTGGATGAATGATGCAATTTTTGGTAATAAATGATTGTAATGATATGCAAATGCAATGGTAGACTGCAGAGGAGTTGATGGAAATGTTATATACAATTATCCGAAAAATAACACGAATTTGAAAAATAGTACAAACTTAATAATTAATAATAAATTGGCTAAATTAGTAATTAATTAAAACTGGGGATGTTTTGCAGATAGTTCGAGTTTAAAAGAAGCGACTTCCTTTACTTTTTTTCCTGCTATTTCATTTTTTAGAAAATAAAAAATTATGAAATAGTAGTGTTGGTGACATCGGAATGACATCGAAATGCACCATGAAAAGTGAATATTATATTCCTAATGATATTTAATTGTCATAATATTACCCTAGGTGACGTACTGTTGTAAACAGTTGCACACTGTAAACGCTATTATAAACTGCTGTGACAATAACAGTTTGCTGTAAAACAACAACATGCAGTAGTCGGAAAAAACAACATACAGTATTCGGAAAAATAATCAGTAATCATAGCAAAGGAAGGTAAAAATAAACGTTCTGCTACAATGGTAATGTAGAAATATACAGTAATCGCAGTAGAGGGAGGTAAAAGCATGAGTATCAAGTATAGAAAGCCTTATAAACAGTTGAATAATAGTGACGGAGTAAAGGAAGATGACAGTATCTATGATGACATTTATTAGCAAAAGCATCTAAAATAAATAAATAAAAAAGAAAGAAAAGATGAAATAGTGGATGATTGTTCACAAAAGGTGCCAAGAAACAATTCCAACTGCATAGGTAAATGCTCCTATCAAACGTATGGGAAAAGAAAATTTTTATATTTGGGATGAGTTATCTCAAATAGAGAAATTTCTTCAGCTGCATTATATCCTTCAATCGTAGTTCCACAATGCACATCCATTTCTGGAAAGGTTTTTCATTAAGGATCTTTATTTTTATAAATTCTCAAACATTTACTAAGAAATTTGCAAAAGTGATAACAATTTTGGGAAAAAA